GAAAACGAGCAGACCGCCTGTGACATCCCCACAAACTGGCCGCGAACGGGCCCGTGCCCCACCCCTTGGCGGCTCCCCTTAGGGGTGCTGAAACCAGCGCCCCGCCTGAGACGTCCTCAAAATCTGATCTGAAATCCAAGAATGTTGGGCATGAAAACGAACGAACCGCCTGAGACACCCCCGCAAAATTGCCGCGAACGGGCCCGTGACAAACGCCCCTGGCAGCTCCCATTCGGGGTGCTGAAACCAGCGCACCGCCTGCGACATCCTCGCAATCTGCTCTGAAAGTCAAGGATGTTGGGCATGAAAACGAGCAAACCGCCTGAGACATCCCCACAAACCGGCCGCGAACGGGCCCCTGAAAACACCCCTGGCGATCCCCCTTGCGAGTCTGAGTATGACTAGGTCTGAGTATGAGTAGGTCTCAGTCCGTGCGTTGAATAACTCAGACTAGGAGAAGGTCTGAGTATGTGTAGGTCTGAGTATGAGCAGGTCTGGGAACGAGTCTGGGCATGAGTAAATCTGGGTATGAAAGAGCCCCAGCATGAGTAAGCCTGAGTATGAGTAAGAGTCAGACCATGAGAAGGTATGAGTATGAGTAGGTCTGTGTCTGAGTAAGTCTGTGCATGAGTAAGCGTGTGCTCTCTGGAGTCGGCGGCGTCCGAATAATAACAATAACCCCATCTTAGGATATGGGGAACAAGAACCCCATCTTAGGATATGGGGGAAATGTGACCCGCCCCCCACCCCCCCCGCCGGACTTGACGGGCCACCTTTTCGCATTGTACTGTGCGAGCGATTATGGCCCATCGCCCCTCCAAAATATGAACTAATACCATCCCAGACCCGGGCGGGCGCCCACCGACGCCCCCCGCGACAAATCCGACGCGCGAGCACTCGTTCATCAGAAACCATCGGGGTCCACAATCCCTTGCAACAGAAACCTTTCAGAACGCCCAGTTTCGCCGGGGTTGCAAAGCCGCGCGCCCCGAAACACAAAGCACCCATGGTTTCGCAATCATGACTGTTCAGAGAAAGCATGCTCTCGGGCTCTTGCGCGTTCTTGGGGCAACACGCTGGCTGTTCAACGTGCCCACCACGTGCTACCAAACGCGCCTCTCGCGGGCGCGCGTCGAAATCGCCCCGGCGCCCCCGCGCGCGCGCTGTCGCGGGAATCCCCCGCGACAAACGGGGGCCCGCGCGCGCGCGTCGTCGTCGCGCGTTCGCCGAGTTCATGCCAAAACCTGCGGCCCCGCGAAGATTTCAACGTCGAACCCCGAAGGTATGAAGACGCGCGGCATTGCGACGTCAATTTGCAGAACAACCAGCGCGCGCGCTCATGCTAATTCTTCTGGGAATCCTCATTTGCTCAGATAGTGCATAGCATGCGACCAGACGCCCTCTCGCGCCGCGCGCCGCAATCAATCGAGCGCCCTTGCGCGCGCGCTGGCGGGGCGCGGCCCCGTCGAATCGCGCCCCGCGGGCCGCTCGCGCGCGTCGGCCGCGGGCGCGCTTCAAACTCCTTCAGCGCCTTCGTCGCCGACGCGAGGGCGTCGCCATCGTCGTCGGCGGGCGCGATCAACATCGAGGCCGCCGTTGGCCTCGCCGTCGCCATCGCCGCCGTCGCCCGCCGCGGTCGGCGCCGCAATGGCACCGCGCCCGCCCGAGGCGCCGACTCGCCCTGCAGCGCCCGCTGAAAGGCGCGCGGCTGTCCGCGCCATCGCGGCCGCGTTTGTCGCGCCAGGCTAGCCGGCCCGCCGCGCGAGCGAGCGCGCGCGAGTCGGCGCGGCCGCGGAGATGCACCAGCCAACCCCGAGCAATCATCGCAATCGCCGCCGCATGGGCTCTGCAGGCCAAGTCGCGGGTGGGCGGGCGGAGCGGCGGCGCGCGCGGCGGAGCTGGCAACTGCGAGTTCCGCGCGCGAAATGCGCGACGTCGGCTCTACTTTACAAGAAGTAACAGGATGCCCCCCCCGGGCGGCTCGCCTTCGTGCGCTGCGAGCTACTTCTGATTATGCCCCGTCGCCCACCGAGCAGACGCGCGCCGCTTATCGACCGCCCCCTCCCCCCCGCCACACCGCCACCACGCGAAGCATTGCATGCGCGCGTGCTCGCGTATAGCAAGTCATGCGCTTCCAGGGGCCCCCTGCAACGAACGCGGCGAAACGCGGGCGCGCGCGTCGCCGCGCGCGCGCCAAAACCTTTCGACAACCGTGGGTTTCGCGAGGAATTCAAAATCAAGCGGCTCGAACAAATTAAGACAACGGTTTGGAATCGTCAAAAAAGCATGCGCTCGCGTTCTCGCGAATTCCTAAAAGAACATGACGTTTCAGACGTGGCCGAGCGTATCCCTCGCGCGCGCGTCGAAACCGCCCGGGCGCCCCCGCGCGCGCGCTGTCGCAACGATCCCCCGCGAGTTAGCGGGGCGAAGTGCGCGCGCGGGTCGCCGCGCGCGGATGCCCGAATCCTCCGAACGCCGCGGGCGTCGTAAGAATCGACTGCCCCGAACGCATCTTGTTAAACCGAAAGAAAACGCGTGGTTTGGCAGCATCTGCTTTCGAAAGCTCTGCGCGCGCTCTTGCGAACTCTTCGCAAAATCAGCAGATTTTCATTGTTTTATCCAGTTCGACCAAACGGGCCTCTCGAATCGCTGGTCAGACTCATTCGAACGCTGTTCCGCGCGCGATGGGGGTGGTGGGTGGGGGGCACGGTCCCCGTAAAATAACATCGTGCAGGCCACTCGCGCGCGTTGGCCGCGCGCGCGTTTCAAACTCCTTCCAAAACTCCATCACCGACGCGAGGAAACCGTCATCGTCATCGGCGTGATCAGAATCGGCGCCGTCCTTGGCCTTGCCGTCGTCATCGCCATCATCTTCACGATCATGGCTACGACCATCATCGCGTCAACCGTTGTCGACGTCGCCATGGTGCCGCGCCCGCCCAAGGCACCGACTCGCCCTGCAGTGCCCGCTGGGAAGTACCCAGCGGTCAGCGCCACCGCGACCGCGTCGGTCGCGCCAAACTACCTGGCCGCTGCGCGTGAGAGCATGCGCGGGTGCGGCCGCAGAGATGCACCAGCCAACGCCAAACGCTCATCGTAATCGCCACCGCATGGTTTATGCTAGCCATGTTGCAGGTGGGCGGGTGGGATGATTACGGGGGCAGTGGGATTGACAGCTCAAGTTTCTCAAAATTAACTGCACCGCAAAAATTGCACCACATAAGTTCCACTACGTAGGTTGCACAGCGTATATTGCTAGAAACGCGCACTTCGGTCGTTAACGCTTGACATGCAGGCAGCATGGAGTATATGCAGATCAATCAAAACAGCGATCGTTCTTGGTTACAGTTTTCGCCATCACCCTTATCATATTGTTCCAATTCCTTCATGTGTCCTGTTCCTTTTCCTTTTCCTCTTCCTCGTCCTCGCCTTGATTGCCACGGGGGCCCTTCCCCGTCCTCTTCTGATTTGTTTGCGAAAGCCCCTCCAGGGCGAGTTTCTGGAGAACCTCGCGGGACTTTGTTCGAAGCCCCTTGGGTGCCTCTGACGACGTCCCTGATGCCTTTTGGCGGCCTCTAGGGGGTTCTTCGGGCCCCCATGCCGCGTAACGTGGTCTCGGGTCACGGTTCGAATGTTTCCGGAAGGCGTCTTGGGCCAGTTTTGAGCCGCCATGGGGCCCTCTGGGGGCGATTGAGGGGCCCTGTTGGGCAATCTTGGGGCTCATTTGGGGTGTCAGGATGCGTGTTCTCGGTCGTCTTGTAACGGTTTTCGGTGCCTTTCGGCCGCTATAAGGAACATGGGGGGGGAGGGCTGGAAAAGGCGCGGAACACTCAGACCGTGAGGGTCGCCGCGTGGGTGCTGAAGAATAAATCCGAACCCACAAGACAAACACGGAACGACCGCATGGGGCAACCATGGGACAACGCACGGAACCACGGGATAACCACAACACAACCCACGGGACGATACCCTGCGCGGCAACGCGAGACGAAAGGACGAGACATGTTGTCCACCTTGGCCCCGCAGCCTTGGTTGACATAAAATTAGTCGCTGTTGCGCAGCCTCGCCTCTCTCGCACGACACGAACCGAAACCGAAACCCAATTCCTGGCTGGGGCCACTGAGTCCCCTAAAACCTTCCGATAGTGTGCTCCAGTCTCAGTTAGCCAAGACTGCTACCCACCAGCGCTGGGCCAAACAATTTTGAAATCCACTGGGGCATCATGAACTTCAGCCTCACGGAAATTCCAAGACCCCGTCGCATTGCGGCCTTCGAGCTATGTGTTCAACTTTGACTTGCGTCGCATCAGATGACTTCTTTTTTCCTCCCCCCATACTCTCTTGCCCTTCCTCCTGCCCCTCCGCGTTTTCCAACGATCTCCCTCTTATCCTCCCCCCTCCTCCCTCCTCTCCCCTCTTGTCCATCCTCCCTCTTCCTATACAGGTCCCCAAGAGGTCCCCAGGAGGCCCCCAGAGGCTTTGAACTGGCCTACGAGGAAAAAACAGAGAGGCATCCCCAGGTGCTCAAACAAACTGTCAAAAGATGCTCCAATAGGCTGGGTCGAAGGCCACCCGATATCAACATCTAAGATCTCTTAACTGCAAATGTGTTGTTGAATCGTGTTTCGTTGCACGGGAGGGGTACTTGCATGATGGCTTTGCTGGAACATATGTGGAACATGGCAAATTATGGCAGATCCTTGATGTGCGGATGCTAAGGTCAAATAGTATAGCAACATGCCGTGCTGACTTCAACCTTACCTCTCCCGACGCTATCAAACTAACAGTCCCGGCGATCAAAACGGGTCCTGGGGTCCAGGCGTGCGGGGCGCAATGTTTTCCCCGCAGTACTCCCCTGGAGGGCCTGACGCAGCCATCAAAATCAAAGGTGCAGGTCTAGAGGTCGAGGTCCTCCCCGCCCACCTACACGACATCTGACCGCCGAGCCAGTCCCCAATATCTGACTGGTCTCGCGGAAGGACCGGCGTTGCATGGGAGATCCTGGCTGCACAGCAGGAACATAATCACGAAGGCCGCCTTGCGCCGAGCCTGCTCGGAGACCATGGCGGCGAAACTGAAAGTTTGCCAAGCTAACGATGGTTGAAAACAAACAAGCTTGAGCTCAGATGAAGGCAAACGTTTGAGATGAAGAATCAGGAGCTGGAAGAAGGAGGAAACATGTATAACGAGGCGAAGCTAGGATGAGGATGAAGAAGAACGAGGGGAAGGTGATAATAGGATGAGGAAAAAGAGGAAGAGGAACAAACTCAACGACCAAGAAACAACTTTCAGGGCCAATTGGTCTTCCGTGGCCCGCCGTAAGAAGCTGCGTCGGGAGATGGACTAGGACCGCCGCCTAGATGAGTGACGCTAGTGTTCATACGGATTTATATATATAGCAGTTCTAGATTTGTATATGTAGATGTAGGAATTCTACATACACCTATATATACACATGGAAACATATATATGTATATGTATGTATATACATACACATATAGATATACGAACTAGCGACGATGTATCCTGTATATGTGTATATATATATATAGATGCATCGATATGTGTATGCATGTATATATGCACACCAGGGTTCGGTGGGCCATCCTGGGGGGAAACATTGCGGGGCCGTTCTGGCTATGTCGCCAACCCTTGGAAATGGAATGCGGCCCAACCAAGTTCCGCACCTTGCTGACTGCTCCACCGACTGGGCAATGTTCTCATTCGCCCGCGCCCTAGGCCCTGCAAATAGCAAGGCCTGAGTAGACACCATACCCCTGTGGATTGTCACGAGGACCGCGCACACGGGTTCTCTCCCCTGGTGTGTAGTTCGCTTTCGGTTGCCACGCACTTTGGGCGCCCCGTATACACCAAGCCCTTCCGTAGTTACCATCTACGATTCAGCTCCCATTCGAAACGCTCAACTTTCGCGATCCGTATGCACTAAGGTCCTTGTGTGCTTGACATAAACACAACAGTTATGTGTGAGATCACGCCAGATGCGTTCCTGGTGGAGTGCTAAATTCGGAAATGCTAAAAAGGATGGCGGACCAAATTTTAGTTACAGATTTGTCGCCATGTCTACTAGACGCCGCCACAGGATGCGTGCCATTTGGGATTAGCGCGGGCGTTGAATCGTCGTCGCCTTGGGAACACTTCGCAGCCTCAGTGCACCTTGAATATATGCAAATGTATATATATATATATATATATATATATATATATGGTTTCCGAGCCTACATACAAGAGAAAACGGGGGGGCCTGGGAACAAGCAGCTGGATTTTCCCGCGGCAGACGGGCGACTCCCGCTATCCCGACGCGCACATTTGTGGCAACCTGAAGCGACGGCTCTTCGTCCCTGTCTGCCCGCTGGGCTCCCGCTCCCAACCCCGCCGCCGAGACGGCAGCCTCCGCAACAAGCTCCTCGACCAGCATGGCTGGCATGCTGTGCCGCATGCGAGGTGGGCGAGTCGGGCAAGAACTGTCACAGCGGTTCCCCCGACTGGCACTCTGCCAGGCACTAAGAGCTCACAATATTCGCGGCGCCAAAGTAGCACGCAGTCACAGCCTGGAACCGCTGCGACCCCCGCACACGGGAAGTCCAAAAAGCGGTCCAGACCTCTCCGCTAGCGATCCAGCTGACGGACGCCAGATCTGACTGGTGCGCTACATGCGTACACTCAGCATACGCTCCAGGCAGGGGTGCCGGTTCCATACGGATGGCCTTGCGGCCGCCCAGGCGGTGGATGCTAAGCGGGCGCGCTACCCCGTGAACGGGGGAGAATTGGATCTTCTAGTCTCTGAGACGGGGGGCAGGCCCAACGACGAGGCAACCAGCTTCGTCCGCAGCCACGGAACCGCCTGAGGCCGAGCGTCCAACAGAGTGCCGCCACCACTGCGCCGCGGTCGCTACGCCCGCTGGGGTGATGCCGCAGCGGCCGCCTGCAGCCACATTAGAGACACCAGCTGCCGGACGAACCATAATTTCGGCGTCGTCTCTTACGTACCGACGACCACGACTGCGACCAGGCTGGCCAGGCAATGACATAACGGTGGCCCCAGGCCAAGAAGGCGGATTCCGATAGGACGGTCGCTCTCCGTCGAATTAGGTATCGACGTGATACTCCAGAACTGACCTCCTTGCATGCCTGGCTTTGGTGGTCCCAATGCTTGGGCCGCGGAGCAGGGAAGGGGGAGCAGGAGGAGGAAGACTAGCCGGCCGCCCCGGGCGAAAGGAGCCTGGGCGCGTGCGTGTGAACAAGCGGGAGCCCCAGATTGGGACACACCTGGGTCGAGTTTTGCTAGGATGTCTCAGGCGAGAGCCCCAAACTGGGATGCGCATGGTGCACCCCAGCGCGCCCTGGCACGCGCCGACAAATCCCCGGAAATGGTCCCTGGGGTCGCTGCGGGGTCTGACTTTTACGCGCGCTGGGGGTCGACTTCGGGAAGATGCTTCGAACGGGTACCCCAAGCTGGGACACTCCCGGTGCGCCGTGGCGCGCCCCGGCGCGCGCTGGCAGATCCGGGAAATGGCCCCTGGGGTCGCTGTGGGGCCTGACTTTCTCCCGCGCCAATGTCGGCCTTATGGGGGACGTTTCGAGCGAAAACCCAGGACTGGGACACGCCCAGCTGGCGCGCCCCAGCGCGCGTCACGCGAGGGCGCTGGTTTGAATTCGTCGCCAGATTTCCCGGATTTCTCGGAAACGAGCAAGGAGGCCTCTGAGGACCTCCTTGGGAAGGCTCGGAAGGGGCCGTTTGATGAGGATGTCTCACGCGAGGGCGCCAGTTTGGAATTCGTCGCCGGATTTCCCAAATGTCCCGGAAACGGAACAAGATTCCTCAACTGTTTCTCCTTTTTCCGCGATAGCGGCCAGCACCGACCCCGCCCCCCCCATGATGTGACGTTTCGCGCCAGCGGCATCCGGGAATGCATGACCGAAACCAAGTAGGAACAGCATGTAGGTGGCGATCTGCACCGCAGCGTTTGTGTGCACCGCGCTGCTCGCGTGCACCACAACGCGCGTGCACGCCACAACGCCCTTGTACACCGCAGCAGCCAAGTGCAAGGCAGCGCTTGTGTACACCACAATTTTTGTATGCACCACAGCGCCTGTGTGCACCACAGCGAATGTGTCCATCGCAGCAGCCGTCTGCAACACAACGCCTGCGCACACCACATTGCAACGCAGCGCCTGTGTACGCCACAACGCCTATGTACACCACAGCATCCACGCGCAACCCAGCGCTGGTGCACACCACAACGCCTGCGTGCACAGGACAAGCAAAAGGAAGATTGCGTGAGGATCTGCTGCGGGCAGCTAAACGCCACGCGAAAGTAGTGCTGATGATACAATGCTATGTCATCCCCCCCTCCTCCTCCACCTCCTCCTCCTCCCTCACCGTCGTGCGGGCCGGCACTACAGCGCACGTGCGCATCTCAATGTGCACCACAAAGTGGAAATGGGCATGGAAAAGGTAAGCGCACGAGCCATGAAATGCTACGGTGCCATGCAACAGCGCCCCCATGCCACAGCGCCTCCCACTGCATTTCCTCCACATTGCCCCACGCCTCAAGCGAACCCCTTCAGAACGACGCCGTCCCTATTTCTATGCGCGTCCCGATCCCAAAGACACGGTACCTCCTCCTCTTCCTCCTCCTCCTCCTCCTGTTCCTCCTCCTCCTTTTCCTCCTCCTCCTCCTCCTCCTCCTCCTCCTCCTCCTGTTCCTCCTCCTCCTCCTCCTCCTCCTTTTCCTTTTCCTCCTCCTCCTCCTCCTCCTCCTCCTCGGGAGGACTCGTAGAGTCCACAGGCGTTCCTATTTCCGTTCAAATTCTTCTCCAAATCCACGAAATAGTCGTTCCCTGTGGAATTCACAGGCGCTCCATTTGGTCATAAGGATTCCATCAACAAATCTGGATACAGAAATAATGGTACGTTGCACACGGTTGCTGTGGTGCACACAGGCGCCGTAGTGCACACAGGCGCTGTAGTGCACGCGGGGTGCACAGGAGGGGCTGTGGTGTACACAGGCGCCGTGGTGCACGCAGGCACTGTGGTTCACACAGGCACTGTCCTGCAAATTGACAGACGCCGCCGGCGCAAAACGTGACGTCACCGGCCCCCTCCCCCCCCCCGGTGACGGTCGTCATCGCCCTAGAAAAACATTAGACTGACGAACGACCCAACCATATGCAGTTGCGCGTGCCGGATTGTGGACACTGGTTTCGATGGAGCTCCCTATGGGGCCTCGAACGCGCTGTCCTGGGTGGTGTTGACGCAAGCGGCCTGTGCCACTAGAGCCTTCGGTGGAGCTCCCTATGGGGCCACGAAGCACTGTCCCGCGTGGCGTTGACGCATGCGGCCTGTGCCACTGGAGCCTTCGGTGGAGCTCCCTATGGGGCCACGAAGCGCTGTCCTGAGTACCGTTGACGCATGCGGCCTGTGCCACTGGAGCCTTCGGTGGAGATCCCGACGGGGCCACGAAGCGCTGTCCTGGGTGGCGTTGACGCATGCGGCCTGTGCCACTGGAGCCTTCTGTGGAGCTCCCTATGGGGCCACGAAGCGCTGTCCTGGGTGGCGCTGACGTATGCGGCCTGTGCCGCTGGAGCCTTCGGTGGAGATCCCTATGGGGCCCCCGAAGCGCCGTCCTGCGTACCGTTGACGCATGCGGCCTGTGCCACTGGAGCCTTCCGTGGAGCTCCCGACGGGGCCACGGAACGCTGTCCTGGGTGGCGTTGGCGCATGCGACCTGTGCCACTGGAGCCGTCTGTGGAGTTCCTTTTGGGCCACGAAGCGCTGTCCCGCGTGGCGTTGACGCGTGCGGCCTGTGCCACTGGAGCCTTCGGTGGCGCTCCCTCTGGGGCCACGAAGCGCTGTCCTGGGTGGCGTTGACGCACGCGGCCTGTGCCACTGGAGCCTTCGGTGGAGCTCCCGACGGGGCCACTGGCGCATGCGGCCTGTGCCACTGGAGCCTTCGGTGGAGCCCCCGACGGGGCCACGGAGCACTGCCCCACGTGGCGTTGACGCATGCGGCCTGTGCCACTGGAGCCTTCGGTGGAGCTTCCTGCGGGGCCACGAAGCGCTGTCCTGGATGGCGGTGACGCACGCGGCCTGTGCCACTGGAGCCTCGATGGAGCTACCTATGGGAAAGCGAAGCGCTGTCCTGCGCGGCGTTGGCGCATGCGGCCTGTGCCATTGGAGCCTTCGGTGGAGCCCCCGATGGGGCCCCGAAGCGCCGTCCTGGGCGGCGTTGACGCACGCGGCCTGCGCCACTGGGGCCTTCGGTGGAGCTCCCTATGGGGCCACGAACCGCTGTCCTAAGTGGCGTCGACGCATGCGGCCTGTGCCATTGGAGCCTTCTGCGGGGCTCCCTGTAGGGCCGCGAAGCGCTGTCCTGCGCGGCGTTGACGCGCGCGGCCTGCGCCGCTGGAGGCTTCGGTGGAGCTCCCGATGGGACCGCGAAGGGCTGTCCTGGGCGGCGTTGACGCATGCGGCCTGTGCCACTGGAGCCTTCGGTGGCGCTCCCTCTGGGGCCACGAAGCGCTGTCCTGGGTGGCGTTGACGCATGCGGCCTGTGCCACTGGAGCCTTCGGTGGAGCCCCCTATGGGGCCACGAAGCGCTGTCCTGGACGGCGTTGACGCATGCGGCCTGCGCCGCTGGAGGCTTCGGTGGAGTTCCCTATGGGGCCACGAAGCGCTGTCCTGGGCGGCGTTGACGCGCGCAGCCTGTGCCACTGGAGCCTTTTTTTTTTAGCTGCGCCCTGGGCTCGCGCGGCGCGAGCTCGGCCCTGGGGTGGCTCCAGGGTGTGCGCCGTCACCAGGGGCGCCCGCACGGGGCGCCCGCCTGGCCGTGCCAGTCCCGAACGGGGCCAGACCACCGAAGGCGCTCCCCTTGACACCGCCGCTACCGCAAAGGCCGCGGCTGACGAATGCTCGGCTTGCTCTACTGAGGTCAGCGGCATCACCTGGGGCACCCCCGCGGGGCACCCTCCAGGCTGTGCCACCCTCCAAAGACGGCAGCCCACCGAAGCCACTCCCTCAGGAACCAAGGCGGAGGGAGCCACCAGGCGCAAGGCGCGCCACCCGCGAACGCGGGCTAAAGGGCGCTGGCAGGTCCCCAGCTCACGGACTCCAGCATCTGCCGAAGCTGCTCGCTGAGCCGAGGCTCGTAGTCAGCCGCCTGGCGGAGGACGCCGTCGGCAACCGCGAAGACCTCCTCCGGGCCGACCTCCGAGGCCGCAGTTCCGCCTGTAGCAGGCGCCGCCACCGCGAGCGCCGCGCCCAGCTCCGCCGCCGCCTTCGCCCGAGGACGCCTGGGCCCGCGCCGCCGCCGCGCGGCTCCGTCGACCTGGCCGTCGCACCCGAGGCCGCACCCCGCAGCACCAGCAGCTCCTCCAGCTCCGCGAGCTGGATCCGCCGCCTCCGCCGCCGCCGCCCCGCCAGGGGCGCCCACGAGGGGCAGCGCCGCGTCAGCAGGCGCGGCCGTCGCAGCGGCCGAGCCAGAGCCCGAACCGCCTGCGCCAGCAGCAGCCACCACCGCGACACTCATGCCCTCGCATTTCCTCCTAGGCCAACGCGGCCCGCGGACGGGCAGGCTGTCGGCCCAGGAGTCGTCGATGATCCCGTCGCTATCGTCGAAGCCGTTGACCATGGGAGCGTCGTTGCCAGAGCCGCCCTCGGGAGGGGCAGGCAAGCCAGCGCGACCGGTTCCAGGAACAACATCACGATCAGCACGGCGCCCTTCAGCGAGACGAGCGCGGCACCGCCGCCGCCGCTTCCGCTTCGCATCCGATGCGCCATCTTTACGTCCAGCCTCCCCAGCGCTGGCGGCCGCAAGCGGCTGCGGGGGTGCCGCGGCCCGAAGGGCTATCGCAACCGCGCCCCGCGCCACCGCAGCCACCGTTCGCCGTGGCGCCTTGGCCTCGACGGCCGCGCGGACCGCGGCAGCCACCAGGTCCGCCCCGTCCACCCCAGCTGTCGCCCCTCTAGCCGCGCGCAGGCCAGCCATCCCGCGAAGGACGACCGAGGCGGAGGCGCGGCGTGCTGTCGTTTGAGCCAAAATGTACCACCGCAACTGGAGCCTTCGGTGGAGCTCCCTATGGGGCCACGAAGCGCTGTCCTGGGCGGCGTTGACGCACGCGGCCTGTGCCACTGGAGCCTTCGGTGGAGCTCCCTCTGGGGCCCCGAAGCGCTGTCCTGGGTGGCGTTGACGCACGCGGCCTGTGCCACTGGAGCCTTCGGTGGAGCTCCCTCTGGGGCCCCGAAGCGCTGTCCTGGGTGGCGTTGACGCATGCGGCCTGTGCCGGTGGAGCCTTCGGTGGAGCTCCCTATGGGGCCACGCAACGCTGTACTGTGTGGGCGAAACGTAGGGAGGTGACGAGGCGGATGGGAGGAGGGAGGAGGGAGGAGGGGGATGAGGAGGAGAGGAGAGGAGAAGAGAGGAGAGGAGAGGAGAGGAGTGACGCAGGGCGCTGTCTCTTCAAAACGAGGACCCAACACCACAGGATCGTTGGGAACAAGAATCTACAAGGGGGGCTTCTGAAGGCCCCCCTGGGGAGGCTCGGGGGGGGACTTTGGGAGAATGTCCCACGCGAGGGCGCGGGTTTAGCAGTTGTCCCAGATTTCCCGGACTTCCCGGAAACGGAACAGGGGTGCGGTTGGCGGGCCCATTCCCTCGCGCGCCAGGGGTCAGGATGACGTGAGCTCTCAAGACAAACTCCCTCAAATAAGGACAAGGGAAAAGAAGCAGGAGGGGGGGATGACGACGGGGAGGAGGGAGGAGGGTGGAGGAACAGCATGGCAACATCTAGAAAGAGAGGAAGTGAAGGGAAGATAACGAGGCAAGGAGGCCGCGCCGAGCCCACCATGCCGTGCACCGCAGCGCCGCTCAGAGTCTGCGCGGTGGCCTGCTGCATGAAGTTCGCTACCTTGGAACAGCAGCTGCACGCGCGCGTGTTTTTGCCACGCTCCGTCCCAAGGACACAAGCGGCAGACATCCACTCGCACGAACATGATGCCACGCATTAGGAACTACATTTCGACTGGCCTCTGCCAACTCTGACGGTTTTGCCTCTCAGAGGGCCCGCTGCTCGCCACGACTCGACTGTCATGCCTCTTCGTCTGGCCCTGGGCAAACCCTCACGGCCTTTTCCGTCTTTGGACTCGCGGCCAACTTGCACCCATACTTGCCTCCAAATCCATGCAACTTGTGATAGATGAGAACAGACAAGCGAGTCTGCCCCAAACGGCCACGACATGGCACAAGACTTCTCTGCGGCCGCAGCGTGACTCTCCCCCTGACGGCCACAAGATGGCCAAAGAGGATCTGCACACCTCGCCCAAAGGTACCGCGCCCCTCCAAGACGGCCCGACAACACCGAAAGGCAGCACCCCAGCAGGCCTCAAGAAGCCCCAGAGGGCCCTCTCTGAAGATCCCAGCGAGAAGATCTGGGAGGCCAAATCCGCAAGCGGGTCGCGAGGCACTGAGACTAGTGGTATCAGGCTCCTTCGAACACTCTGCACCCTTAATTACGTGGGGTTGCGCAAGTACTCTGTGAGGGCCCTGGGCCTGTAATTTCTGGGCCGGCCTGGGCGCTTTCGGAATTCGCCGCATGGGCAATCACGTGCGCCTTCGGGGTTTTAAAACGTTCCAATGTTCACAGAAGACCTCTTGGGTGTCGGCTCGAAAGACTTTGGGGTCGGCCAAAGAAGCTCGAATCGCAGAGGGAAACAACAAAGATTTTGTTCCCCTAGCAGCGTTTGCGCTCAAAAATGTTGCTTGTTTTCTGAAAGAACCGGGCCCTTGTGCCGGTCTGGCAGCACCGCGTCCACCCTCGCAACCGCCCCGTCGCCGCCTCGTCGCCGCCCGTCGTCTGGGCCCGTGTGCCAATCTGGCGGCTTCGTGGTCGCCGTGGCCGCTTCATCGCCGCCCCGTCGCCGCCTAGATTGCACCACGTTGAGTCTCGGTTCTAATAAGCACGCGGACTCACCCCCCCAAGATTCACCCCCCTCCCGGGAGAACGCAATTTACGAAAGATTATGGCCCATCGTTTTATAAAAATGAACGCAGGCCATCGCAGTCCAGCTGGCAACGACCCCCACCCTCATCCTCGCTACATAATGGTACGCGCGCAGTCGTTGATCAAAACTCATACAATGTCAAGAACCACACGCTCGCGTCGTCGCGCGCGCATGCCGTATTCGTTCAAAAACCTTGAGCTTCCTATATATCTCAATGTCGACCATACGGAACAGTAAAACCCCATGGCTTTGCAACACGATTGGAAACAAAAGCTGCGCGCACCCCTGCGAAGTCCTACGAAACCCATGGGCTTGCGAACATCTTCGTCACATGCGACCAAGAGGGCCTCGCGCGCGCATGCCAAAATCATTCGAAAGCCCTTGCGCGCCTGCTGGGGGGGCAAGGGGCACGATCCGTGCCACACTAAACCATGTGAGCCGCTCGCGACCGTCGGCCGCGCGCGCATATCGAAACCCGTCCGAAACCTTCATCGCCGACGCGTGGACACCATCACCTTCATCGGCGTGATCAGCATTGGCGCCGTCATTGGCGTCGCCGTCGACACCGTAATCTTCGTCATGAGCATCTATACGATCATCATCGTGTATGCCGTTGTCGACGTCTCCATGATACCGCGCCCGCCCGAACCACCGACTCGTGCTGAAGTGCCCGCTTAACACGGCCTGCGAGACGCGCTGGGATGTCCCAGCGGTCAGCGCCACCGCGGCCGCGTCGGTCGCGCCAGACTAGCTGGCCGTTCTGCGCGCGAGCCTGCGCGCGCTAGCGCTGCCGCCGCGATTCGCCAGCCAGCACTAAGCAGTCATCGCAATCACGCGTGGGTTTTGCAAAGCAAGTTGCGGGTGGGTGGGTGGGATGATTGCGCGAGCAATGGAGTTGACAACTCAGTGCGGGCAAACATTCATTCTCATTTCTACAAGAATGAACTCTACCGCCCCCCGGAGTTCATGGGTCACCTTTTTCGCATTGCAACATACAAATGGTTCTGCCCCATCGTCCATCCTACCTGTGAACTCATACTATCCCAGCCAAACCGGTATCGCCCCCCCGGCATCCTTTGCAAAACATACTATGCGCGAACACTCGTTTATCAAAAATCACAAGTGCTCACGAATCCCTTGCAGAACATGTGACGAAGTGCACACGCGCGCGTCGTCGCGCGCGCATGCCGAAATCCTTCAAAAACCTTCGATTCCGAAAGGATTTCAAAACCTAGTTTCTAGAAAACGTTTCGCAACACTGATCTGCTTAACAATTTTACACGCGCGCTCTTGCGAAATCTATTGCTAAAGAATGTTCTTCAATAGTTGCAAGAAATACTACCAAACGGGCCTCGCGCGCGCGCATGTCAAAATCTTCCGAACGCCCTTGCGCGCGTGCCGTCGCGAGAATCCTCTGCAAAAAAAGGGACGAAGTGCGCACGCGCACGTCGTCGCGCGCGCATGCCGACATCCTTCACCAACCGCCGGTGTCGGAAGGAGTTCAAAATCGAGTGTCCAAAAAACATTCAAACATTTGGTTTCGCAACACGGCTTTTCAACAAAAGCGTGCGCGCGCGCTCTTGCGTCGTCATCGTTGTCGCCGTCCTCCCTCCTCCCTCGTCGTCGTCGTCGTCGCCGTCGTCGTCCTCTGTCTTTCCTCGTCGTCGTCGTCTTGGCGTCGTCGTTTCCGTCGTCGTTGTCGCCGTGGTCGTCCTTCCCCCCGCGTCGTCTTCGTCGGCGTTTCGTCGTTGTCCCTCCTATTTCGTCGCCGTCGTCATCGTCGTCGTCGTTTTCCCTCCTCCGTCATCGTTGTCGTCGTCGGCGTCGCCGTCCTCCCTCTTTCTTCGTCGTTCGCGTCGTCGCCGTCCTCCCTCCTCCCTCGTCGTTGTCGTCGTTGCCACCGTCGTCGTCCTCCCTCCTCCCTCGTCGTCGTCGTCGTCGTCTTCGTTGGCGACGTCGTCGTCGTCGTCGTCGGCGTCGTCGTCGTCGTCGGCGTCGTCGTCGTCGTTGTCATCGTCATCGTCGTCGTCGGCGTCGTCGTCGTCGTCGTCGGTGTCGTCGGCGTCGTCGTCGTCGTCGTCGTTGTCGACGTCGTCGAAGTCGTTGGAGACGTCGTCGGTGTCGTGGTAATCGTTGTCGGCGGCGTCGTCGTCGTCGTTGTCGCTGTCGTCGTCGGCGTCGGTGTCGCTGCCAAGTGCCGTTTGGTACCCACCGTCACGGTCTTAAGAGGTTTTGCAAACCAAGTTGCGGGTGGGTGGGTGGGATGTTTGCGCGAGCCTTGGAGTGGACAACTCACTGCGACCAGAAATTAATTGCACCACTGCTAGAAACACACTGTTTGGGGTCCACGCTGGCTAACATATGATTGGAGCACCGACACTTCTTTTGTACATCCATAGCAGCCTGGACAACACCAAAAGCTCAAAGATCTTCTGAGAAAGCCCCCGAGGCCCCAAAGACGGCCCCAAGTGAGGCCCCCCAAAACGCGCGTCATCGCCGCTCCACCTCTCCTAGAATACCCTCATACCTCCAAAAGGCCACCAAGAAAACCACCCCAAGAGGACCCCAAGATGCCCCAAAGCGTTTCGCAAGAGTCCCCAAGAGACCTCCAAGAGGCCACGGCTCAGGCACGAACCAGGCACGGTGGCGATGGGCCGAAGGCCTTTAGATCCGCCGCACACTTCGCTTGCTAAGGCTTGCTTGGCGTGCGGATGTTCGAACTATGTTTGACCCTTCCAAAAGACTCCCAATGGCCTTCGGCCGATCCCGCCGGCCACCTGGAATGGCACGAACGAGCCCAAAGACATTTCAAAGTCCAGAAAATCCACTCGCCTGCAATATTGCCACGATTGCCCAAGGTGGTCAAGATATAGCTGGCAAGGCGGGCGCTCCGGAGCTTCCTCTTTCTGCACCGCGGGCCAAGTCTGAAGGCCACGGGAACTTCCCTCGCATGCGCATTTCCCACTACTCCCTCCCCTCCCCTCCCCTCTCATCGGTAACACTCTTCATTCCACTATGTCGCCCTCGCTCTTCCGGGACATACACAACAGCGTCGTTAACGTGCAAGATGGACTGGGCACCGATGGGACAAACTACCGAACTCCATGGCCTCAGATCGGAGCAAGCATCGAGTGCACGCGTGCCGCTCTGTGTCGAATGTACGCCCGCCAAGGCAGCACCTGCTGTTGAAGCGTCTCCTCGGACCGAGTGGAGCATTTCCTTTTCTCCTGCGCAGGAGCACAATGTCAGCTGCTGAGTCGTCGGACGCCCGCCGAGCATCCCATCCCCTATCACGCACAAGCACGGGAGCGAACTCCGAAGGGGGATGCGGAAACTGGAGCTAAGGAGAGCGCGAGGAGACCAGGCTACGTTGTGGGGCCAAAGCGCGGTATCCGCGATGAGGGGCCGGGCCTCAGCGGCTTCTGCTGCGCGATGCCCGCCTGCCGGTCCCAGCGGCTCTCTTGTTCTGGAGCCTGAAGATTGGATCAACAAAGGACCCTCTGGGGGGAGAGCGCGATATGACCTGGCATCGCCAATGCTTCGCCCACAGTCCCCACCATCGAAGCTGACAGCCTGGGCAGATTTAGGCGTCCTAGGCGGTGAAGTCTAAGCGGGCCCTTTTTGGGTCGATGCATCCCTCCCCCCAGTCCGAAGCCCACCGTTCATCCAACCAGCTCTTTAAGCGTAGCTGGCTTAGGGAGATAATTCTTCCAGCCCGATTCTTCTCCTTCGGGGAGAGGTTTAGTTTTCCCCCTGCCTCTCTCCCTGGGTCTGGAGGGGGGCGCCGCGAGGGGTTAGAGCGTCCACGATGGTACAAGGTGGCCCCAAGGGGGCCCAGATTGCCCAACCTCCAAGATCGCACAGTGTAGCCCACGATGGCTCAAGATAGCTTCCAACATGCCTCCAAGAAGCCTAAAGACCGTCCCAAGACGGTTGCGGCTACGAAACCTCCCAAAGAGCCCAAGAGGGGCCCAGGACAGCCCCACGGTCCCAAAATGCAATTCGTCGGCCTGCGACGAGGGAAGACTCATTCACACAGCCTCCCTTTTTGATCGATGGCTCCCAAGATTGCCCCAGGAGCCCCCTCAAGGCCTTCAAGAGGGCCCCAAGAGAGCCCCAAGAGGGCCCCAAGATGCAGCAAGAGAGCGCCAAAGGCCACCAACATGACCCCAAGAGGTCCCTACGATGGCCCCAAGGTGTCTCCAAGAGGCTCCCAGAGCGTGACTGTGCCGCAACACATCCCTGATCAAGGCAAATCGTCGGGTGATTGTGTTTGGGTCGGCTGGTGGGGACACGCGAACCGTCATGCGTCATGCATTCAGTCGCCCCCTGGGGCCGAGCGAGAGCTGCGGCCCTCCTGGCGGCGGCCCCAGCAGCGCCGGACGCCCTCCTCTTGGGCCGCCCGAAGTCGTCGATCTCCTCGTCATCGCTGTTGTGCTCCTTCCTGACCTCAGCGCCCTGGCGCTCCACGAAGCCACCTCCGCGTCCAATCACGCCGTCCCTGGCGCGCATCTCCAGCCTGCTCTGCCTCTGGAGGAGCAAAACAACAACATGAACATCTGACATCCCGTGGCCCGCCCCTCCCCAGACATGAAAAAATACTGGCATCAGAAGCTTGAGACAAACTTGAGTTTTTTCACGTGGGGCCTCTCTTCGGGCTTCAGGTCGCCGCAGCCCTCGCACCTGTAGAACGCGCCTGGATTCTCCTTGGAGCACTTGTTGCACTTCCACAACGGGTCATCGGAGTCCTCTCGCCCTGTCTTGAAGTTTTTCTCCTGGTTGCGATTCAAGACCACAGGGCACGACGGCTTCTTGCCCTTTCGGACATCGTTTGCCAGCGCCTGCTGCCAGCTGCTCATCTGAAACCGACGTCAACAGCTGGTGGCATCACGCTGTGGGGCACCTCGAATCGCTCCTGGGCTTGCGCAGCTATGCGCCCCGCCCAGGCATGCGTGCGTTCTGCTAGGCGGTCGTGAGCCAAAATGGCTGCGACGTGTCAGCTCCGCTGGTCTGAAGCTCCATCTTGGCTCTAGTCGCGCTCCCTGGGCCGCCCCAACAAGCACAACGATGAACCGCTCGGCCCGGACTGAGGGCCTCTGACGAGACGATCCCGCTACTGATTACCTCGTCTCTACTCGGTCTCCCATACCCTGCCCGCGAAACGCCGTCTCAAGCACAACGCCGCCACTCGGAGGCTCTCGCTGGACCTGGCCTGCTGCTGTGGGCGCTCCTCCCTCCTCAGGCCGTCGAGGCCGACAGAGTGGCAGTCGGTGCGTGGAAGCCCCGCGTCCGCGGCGCAGGCGAGGCACCCCTGGAGCGAAGCGGGAGGGGCGAGGAGCACCGCGCGAGGTCCGGGGGCGTGGAATGGTGCCGCAACGAACCGGCGCGGTGGCGGTCAGCCCGTGGGCCCACGCGCCACGTGGGAGGAGGGAGACCCGGGAACGAGGCAGAGAGGGGGGGGGAGGGGGAGGGGTGAGGGCAAGCTAGGTGCGCTCGCGTCATATCTGACATCCTACCCCTCCCTCCCATCCCTTACCATGCCGCAGATCCCCTCTCTACTCGCACAGTCGGATGTCGAGCAGGGCAATGATCCCGAAAGGGTACACGATGCATTGTAGAGCACGGCATGGCATGGCGTAGAAGAGCACCGCAAAGCGTAGTATGAACCTAGCATTGCATTGCATGCCGTGGCATGGCACGGGAAATGACGCCAGCGCTGCAGCGGGAGCACGAGTCGAAACGAGCGGAAGCGCGGAACTCAGGCCAGCGCTGCAGCGGGAGCACGATTCGGAACGAGCGGAAGCACGAAAATGAGGCCAGCGCTGCAGCGGGAGCACGATTCGGAACGAGCGGAGCCCGAAAATGAGGCCGGCGCCTCAGCGAGAGCAGCATTTTGGGAAAAAATGCAAGCGAAAACCCAAACTCCGGGGAGACCTGTAAAAAAAAATACGCGGGGGGGGAGGGTCGGACACTTTCAAACCGTCATCGGGGGAAGAGGGAGAGTAGTATTCATATTGAGTAATTGTGGAGGAGCAGGGAGCAAGGGATGAGACGAGGAGGAAGTTCAAGGTGCGCCAGGCGTGTGGCCTGGCAGCCGCTAATGTTGCCAATCAGGCCGCCGCCCTCGAAACGGACGTCCTGGAGGGGTGCGCCGCCACGTCCTGTCCTTCCATACCGAGGACACAGAGACAGAAAAGCAAGGTAGGGGGAAGATCAGGAAGGGAAGCCGGATGGATCCGGATAGCGAGCCGGATGGATGACGAACTGGAGAAGGATAAGGAGGCAAGGAGAAAGAGGAGCATGAAATATACACGCAAAAAACCGAGATGGACAGAAAGAGAGAGAGAGAGAGAGAGAGAGAGAGCGAGGGAGAAAGAAACAAAAAAGAGAAAGAGAAAACGAGAAAGAGTTCCTCCTCTTCCTCCTCCTCCTCCTCCGCCCTCCCTCCCCTTTCGCGCGTCGCAGCGAGCGCCACTCATCCTGCCCAGGGGGGATCGATGATGCGTGGTGTGAGGTCTGGGGCCGCCGGCGTGCTGCCCCGTCCAGGGCCACGCTGGCAGCATGAGCTGAAGTCAGGACTCTCCCTCTCCCCCCCGCCGAAAGAAAGATATATATATATATATATAGAGAGAGAGAAAGAGAAACACAGAAAGAGACCAGCGCGACACGATCAGGCTGAAGGTGGAAAGGGAAAGGGGAAGGGCGAATGGAAGAGAGGAAGATAGGGATGGGGAAAGATGGATCCGCCACCGTGGCCCCTGGCACCCTTCGGCGTGGTAGAATGCCAAATACGTGAGTCCTCTAAGAGCCCCACTCCCGAGGCCTCCTGGGCGACCACGACACCTTTCTGGCGCTCCCCAATGTTGCCAAGACAGCGAGCAAGGCTGCGAATATTGCCCGAAACTGCTTCAAGGGGCACCCGACAGAGCCAATGAAGGTCCCAAGAGCCTCATTACACTCCTAAGTCAAAGCTTGGAGGGCTTCCAGACAGGCCAGAACCATTCAACAAAATAAAAGAATACAGAAGTGTTTCCCCACATCCTGAATGGGGTTCATGCGTTTTTTTTTCCCACCCGCGCCCCACCCACGACGCCTTCCTGACTCTTTCCTCCTTCCTTCGCTTCGCATACACATACACCACTAAACATATGTAGACGCATGCACACGTACGCATACCCGCGCACTACAAGTACGTACGCGAACGTGACAAACCCATGTACATTCGCATACACATAATCGTTTCTCAGCAATCGCATATGTTTGGAAAGAAGGAGGAGGAGGCGAAAGGGGAAGGCGCGACGAGCATTTTGCCGATACCCTCGTCACACTGTCATCCGCGGGTTTCAGGTAGGATTCGCACGCATACTGCGGACCACCCTCCAGGGTGTGGCAGGGGCGATACTCCGTTTCCTCTGCATTCCTCGCCACCGTGAGGAGTGCGCAGGGGGGCGGTCTCTACCAGTTTCACCGTCCAGGGCTCTGCCCAGGTTGCGCTTCCTCGCTACAAAAAGGGGGTGCTCTCTACCCGTTACACCGTCCAGAACGCGGCAAGGAAAGCACTCCCTGAACACCAGAAGGGGCGCGCAGAGGCTGCGGTCTCCATCCACTTCACCGTCAACGGCGTGGCAGGGGTGGCACTTCCTCGCCACAATGCGGAGAGCACATGGGGATGCGGCCACTATCCGTTTCACTGTCAATTGCGTGGCAAGGCAGGCGCTTCCTCGCCACCATGCGGAGTGCGCAGGGGGTGCGGTCTCTGTCCGTTCCACTATTCAGGGCGTGGCAATGGTGGCACTTCCTCGCCACCAGAAGGCGTGCGCACGGGGCGCGGTCTCGATGGGCCACGTGCTTCCAGGGCGCGGCAAGGGTGGCACTTCCTCCGGGCGGTGCGCGCAAGGGGTGCGGTCTCTATCCGCGCCAACGCCGAGGGCGCGGCAAGGGTGGCACGTCCTCGCCACCCGCCATCAGAGGGGTCGCGCAAAGAGCGCGGCCTCTACCCGTTTCACCGTCTAAGGCGCGGCAAGGATAGCACCCCTCGGGCACCGGAGGGGTTGCGCAGGGGGTGCGGTCTCCATCCAAGTCAACCCAGGGCGTCGCGAAGGCGGAGCTCCCTCGCCACAAAGGTGCGCAAGGAGCGCGGCTTCTACGCGCATCACCGTCTAAGGCGCGTCAATCATGGCACTTCCTCGCCGCCAGACGGAGTGCGCAGGGCGTGACAGGGGTAGCATGTCCGCGCCAGCCTGCGGATTGTCCAGTGGGCGCGGTCGCTGTCCGCTTCGCTGTCCAGGACGTGGAAAGTGGAAGCGTTTCGTCTCCGCCAGAGAGATTGCGCACGGGGCGCGGCCTCTATTGTCTATGGGCCACTTGCCCCCAGGGCGTGGTAAAGGGCGCCGTCTCTATCTGTTTCACCGTCCAAGGCGCGGCAAGGAGAGCGCCCCCTGGGCGCCTGCGGGGTTGCGCAGGGGGCGCGGCCTCCATCCACTGACTCCAGGGCGTCGCAAGGGCGGCACCCCCTCGCCACCAGAAGGGGTGCGCAGGGAGTGCAGTCTCTACCCGGTTAACTGTGTAGGGCGTGGCAACGGCGGCCCTTCCTCGCCGCCCTTCGGAATGCGCAAAGGGTGCGGTCTCAGTCCGTCTCACTGCCCAGGGCGCGGCAGGGGGGCGGCGCTTCCTCGCCGCCGCAGGGCGCGCGCATGGGGCGCGGTTTCGACCCGCCAATTGCTCCCAAAACGGGGCAAGGGTGGCATGGGGGCGACGATCGGGCTAGTCCAGAGTCGCGGCGGCCGAACGCAGGCGAGCCCAACCTTCAGGCGGGCTCGGTCGCTGTCAGGAATGGATGCCAAGACCGAAAATTCGTTGTCGAGCTTAGCCCAGCCGCCCATGGGGATGGTCGGGATGGGCGTGTTGGTCGGCGCCGCCAGGACGCCATGGTGTGCGATCAGGGCGCGCTTGCGGTCGGAGTCGTAACGCCGCTGCAGCTTCTTCAGGTTCTCGCGGTACACGATGCTGATGTTAAAGTGTCGGGTCCTGTCGAGGTCGTTGTCGAGCCCGCAATGCGAATGCGAAGCCGAGCTTCTGTCGCCCATGAAGCCCCTTGCTCAAGGGCGTCCTAGGGACAGGGGTAGCTATGAGCGCGCATGGTGCCATGGCGTCGCCTTGCGGGAGCCCGCGGCGCGGGTTGATAGGCGCGCGAGCTCGCCCGGGATGGAGCAGCGCCAGGGCCGGGCCCAAGCGACGCAGCACGTGATTATGGCGATGGGGGCCGACTGTTCAGAGAAAGAACCTGCGCCGCGATTATGGTGGCGCCGCCGTTGTTGCCCGCGATGGCCCCCCCCTGCCCCTCCCATCCGCCTAGGCGCAAGGTCGCCAAAACAGAAGGGCGCGCCGACAAGGCTGGGTCGCTTCGCGACCTACTGCATCTTGCAATTTGCCCCCCGTGGGCCCGCTTGCTGCCGCCGCTTTATTCGGGCGACGTCTTGCAATTGATCCCGGATGTTGTTGCGCGCCATCATCGTCTTCTTCGTTACAAAATCGATGTGCGATTAGCGTTTACTGGCATCCCGAGGGCTGTGCACAATTCTCGCCGGTTCTGGAAGAAGAATGCGCTCGTGGGAGGTTGATAAATGGGCACGCGCAACACGTCTTTCGTCCAGGCCGTTGAAAAGGCGATTCATGAGCAGTGGCCCTCACTTGCGACGGCGGCGCGGGATAATTGACCCGGCGATGTCGACCAGAAGTTGGCCGACATCATCTTGAACTCGGCTGTTATACATAATGCGGCTGCGATGCGGGCGAAACCGTATTTCACTGAACCCGAGAAATCTGCGATAGTTAATCGGAGGGTTGCTCGTGCCGCTGCTCGCCATCCTGCCCTCGCTCTCGCTGTTCCCGATGGTCACCAGGATGGTCTCTAGTGTCTCTGGCTGGCTTGTTCAACCTTGGGTGATGACGGCGACTCTGTTGAGAATGTGTCGCGGAACGTCGGGTATTGCCGCTATTGTTCGCATGGGTGCTCTTCGCCGCATTGCAAGCCACGGCGAATCGCAAGACGCTCCAAGACGGCGCTCGTCACCGACTTCGCGTCCTTGGGCAAGATTGCGCGGCGGCGTGGGAGCGAAAGGATTTTGCAACTGCTTGGAGACTCTCTTTCCGTCTGGCCCGCCAGGGGGAGGGCCCGCGTCGACGTCGTTCTCGTCCGATTTCACACTTTCGCGCAACGAGCATGGAAAAAGGAATCGCCTCCGGCTGCCGGCGCAGGAGGTTGGCCTGAAAGCAAGGGGGGCTGGCCATGACACGATTTGTCGACCTGTCATTCTTCGCAGCCCTGATTCTCCAGCGATTGGACCCCTGATGCGCGCCGAGATCTTCGCGACGTTCGCAAGGGAGTTTCCCGAGTGGCCCATTGACGCAGCGCGCCCCCGTGGGGGGCGCCAAGCGAATTTATTCTGATGCTCTTTTATCTACGTGTAGGCGCGGCTCGGGGCTCTGGCATGGGGTGCTGCGCTGAGACTTCTGAACCAACTTGGATAGATATGGCATTTGTACTCTTGTTCTCCCTGGTCAAGTTCCGTCAACGGGCTCCTCTTCGTTGGCTTTTGTTTTGGTTCGCCGAGATGCTAAAAAAGGGTGTGGCCGCTGGATGGTGCGCAACGCAGTGTGGGATCTTCATTTTTGTTCGCGCTCTGCCCGGTGCTTGCGCGGCTATGTCGCGGGCCCGTGGGCCCCGCAAATTGGACCGATACTATGCTGCGGGATATGCTCATCCCCGCCGCGGGGAGGAGTCCATTGCGGCATCTACGCGTCTTGCGTTTCGGTTGCGCCCCGTGGGCCATGGAACCTCTGGGCCTTTCTTCGACGCGCGTGGAGCTTTCTGTTGCCCTCGCACCCTTGTGCTTGAATCGCAGTTACACGACGCCTACGTTCTTGCCCGTTCGAACGCGAGACTTTCCTCGATGAGTTGGAGCGCGCGCCGGTCCGCGCCGACGCCGCTGACGGAACGCAGACATGGTCCTTGATCGGCTCTGGCGCTCGGGCGGGGCTCCGCGCTGGGCCTAAATGGTTTCTTGGCGCGCTCCATCCCAAGATCGGCCAGCGCGCGCGCAGTCTCGCCGAGCTACGCATTGTTTCTGCGCTCGGGC